CTTTCCCTCTCTTTGCACTCACCTTTCCCTCTCCCTCTCCTTTCCCTCACCTTTCACTCTCCTTTCCCTCTTCCCTTCCATCTTCTTTCTCCCGCCTTTCACTCTCCTTTCCCTTGCCTCTCCTCTCCCTTGCCTGTCCCTCTTCTTTCCCTTGCCTTCCCTTGCCTGTCTCCCTCTTTCCCTCTCCTTTCCCTCTTCTTTCTCTTGCCTTTCCCTCTCCTTTCCCTTGCCTGTCCTTCTTCTTTCCCTTGCCTTTCCCTCACCTGTCCTCTCCTGTCCCTCTCCTGTCCCTTGCCTTTCCCTCATTTTCCTTTTTATAAGTAACTAAATCAAAACCCCAAAACAAACCAATAAACCCCTCAAAAAAACCTAACCCCCCCCCAAAAAAACAAACAAAAAAAAACCCAAAACACAAAACCCCAAAAGCAACCAAAGCTCCAAACCAAAATTAAAAATTACTGAACACCCCAAAAGCAATCTTTCCAAAACAAAAACCCCTGTCTGTCTTTGTTTGCCTTTCCTACCTCTTGCGTGTCTGTGCCCTCCAGGCCAGTTCTGCCCTATGGCTGAGTGTCCCTGCCTTTCCCGGTGTCCGGGCCCTTGTGATGTGGCGTTGCTAGGTGTGGCATTACAACATCAGGTGCCCGCTCCCCCCAAGCACAGCCCCGCTCACCACCCGTCCACCCAGCACCCTCCCAGGAAGGCCTTAGGGGTGCTGGCCCCAGGCAGCCACTGCGCTCAGGAATCCCCGGGGGCTGCCCCTGCCCTCTGGCCTTGCACTGGGCACAGCTTGTGCCCATCCCTGACGTGTCGTCTGCCACTTGGCTTCCAACAACAAACCCAGTGCTGCTTCTCTTTCTCTCAGGCCAGAAACCAGCCCCGCATCCCTGAGGCCACCCCCATAAGCTGGCCCCTCTCTGTGCCACAGCTAACATCCATAAGGGGGCTACAAGAAATCTGGAGAGCGATTTATTACAAGGGTATAAGGGATAGGACAAGGGGGAAGTGGCTTTAAACTGAAAGAGGGTATGGTTAAATACTAGGAAGAAGTTTTTCACTGTGAGGGTGGTGAGACTCTGGAACAGGCTGTTCAGAGAACCTGTGTCTGCCCCATCCCTGGCAGTGTTCAAAGCCAGGTTGGACACAGGGGCTTGGAGCAACCTGGTCTAATGGAAGGTGTCCCTGCCCATGGCAGGGGGTTGGAACTGGATGATCTTTAAGGTCCCTTCCAACCCAAACCGTTCTATGATTCTGTGGTATTAAAATGATGATATAATGATATTTCAGTGGTTTGAGAAAGTGTTGTGCTATATTAAAATCACCACACTCATCTCCTTAGTTATTTGGCACAAAATATTTTAATTATAGATCCCAGTACAGATAAGCTGGAGGAAATGGTCTGTTTGATCAGTTAAAGTGATATAGTTTAACTCCATTTAAGCCACTAGCGCAGTAGTGTACAAATCTTTTCAGTTCAAATCAGCTCTCTGCTTAATAATGAATTGCCAGGGTGCATTCAATAATCCAGTCCCAAAGAAATATCTTCTAAGGATGAGAGATTGCACAGGAGATTCCCACTTCTGGTTCAGTGCAGGAATGGGTGCCACTGCAGTTGGGGGACCTGTAGTGTTTTCTGTTACCACTCTGGTTTTTAATTTCCCTCAGCCTTCCCTGATTCCTTCTGCCCCCACTGCATTGCACCATTCAATATGGTGTGCACCACTGGGGGCATGGTGTGGTTGCAGCTCAAGAGCTGCCCTTACCCTCTGCCAAACAGCCACTGCATACAACAGCTGTACTACTCAGACAAATTAAGGATTTCACTGCTTTTTGAATAAATTGGTTTTTATTGGCACACGATTGTGATGCTTATCGTTTTTGCTAGAATTAGTTTCCTTCTCATTAATTATGGAGTGTATGTATGGGGGGGTGTTAAACCTTTCTTGTTTGCCCAGCAGACTAAAGACTAAAACTCCAGGTATATAAAAGTGCCATTTATTTGTGTTAGTGTCTGTTAACAGGAAAATCATATTCAACCTTAATATACTCCTGCCTTTATCTCCAGTATACACCACTAATCAGATGAGATAGGAAGTATTTAATGAAGAGCTTTTAGCAGAGCTCCCCCATCATCTTCTCTGAATATGCGTATTGTAGCCACACACACATTGCTCCTTACTCCTCTCCCTGCTCCTCCAACATGCAGTGGGATGCAAGCACTCAGTTCAGTGGGCTTTCATCTTGGATCTTGTCAGAAAACATAAAACTCGTGCTAAGTGGGTCAAGGCATCTGTATAAAGCAGCCAGAATATATAAATTGGCTCAGCTTCACATATTTGGCAACATTTTAACAAGGGATTGTTAAGGACTTGAACACTTTAATAGCACGCTTTAGAGGAGGCATACACCCAGAACCTGGTCCTTGATTCCTTGAAATCAGTTCCGTTACGAGATCTTAATTGTAGTCCATCATGGAATCGTTGTAATATTTGTCATTCTCCGCAAACCAGAATTGTGTGGTGGTGCTTTTTATTTTTTATTATTATTATTATTATTTTGAAATAAGTATGGGAATTTCATATGAAGTCATTAATTTACGGGGGATCTCTGTATTCCCAGCTAGCAGGAAT